CTTGAATTACCTTACTCCAGCAAATTAGCACGAGCCTCCATCATCTGAGCTTTTCCAGATGAATTACGGTTGTCCTCCTCAATACAAATACGAACAACTAGGTCTTCGAGACTCATCTCCCTTCTCTTGTGTTTGAGATAGTTCTTGAAGTCCTTCCAGCTTGGCGGCAGCTTCTCGATCACATCCGCTACTTGGGATGATTCGCTCAAAGTCATCCCTTCAGCATGGATATCGTGCAAGATCAGCTGGAACTCTTGCACTTGTGACACTACAGTCTTCGTGTCAACCATCTTGAAATCAAGAAATTTACCGACGAGGAATTTCTTCGCCCCGGCATCCTCTGTCTTGTACATCTTTTCCAAAGCTACCCAAAGATCTTTGGCAAAACCAAAAGAGTTGTACACATTGTACAATTCGTTACTAAGTCCATTCAGTACATATTTCCGGCAAAGGTAGTCACCTTGCCCCCAAGTTTCATACGCAGCGCGTAGTTCAACATTGTTTCATTTTCAGCAATGACCGGGGGGTCGTCCTTCAGGTATTTCACCAAACCCAAAGTGGTCTGGTAAAAATGTATTTTTTGTTGCCACCTCTTAAAGTCAAGTCCGTTGATTTCTTTGGGCTTTTCAGCTGTAGGGACATGGCAACATGTACGGAATGATGAACAGTGCTGTGGATCGGCTGTTGAGAGCTGGAACCTGCTCCGGTGGATGCCATCAGTTCAGTAGAAGAAAAAAATATTCTTCTTGCGATTGTTGGAGACTGGGTATAAACTTACACGGGAATCCCACAAACTGATATGTATTTTTCAGTTCTTATAAATAATCTAAAAATAGAAAATTACAATTGAACTGAAAAATAAATTACAACTGAAAACGGAAAGATTTTTTGCCGAGGCGAGTAAAACTCTTTCTGCAAGAACAATACGCCCCGTGTGTCAGCTAACGGTTCAGGCATAACTTCCCCAAAGATACAACGACAAACGTCTCTAAAACTGTAGCACACAAGATTTACGAGTTCCGGCGAACTTGAAACGGAGTCGAGAATTGAGCACTTAAAAATAAAAGGAATATCGTAAAACAAATAAAAATATCACTTGTTTCTTCTATTTTGATATTTTTATATCCGATATTTGAACATATATCCTCTCCTTTCTTTTTTCTTTCTTTCCTCTCTTTTTTCTCTCTTCTTTTCGGTGTATCTTTCCATCCTGGTCGAGCATACATATTTATAGGTACAAAGTTGTGCAATTTGGCCAATGGATTAACTATTTCACGTGTTATATTCCCATACAACTTGCCAAGCCAATTGATTAATCTCTTCACATTTAAGGTTCCCACACAATTTGCCAAGCCAATAATTTAATCTCTTCACATGTAAGATTCCCACACAATTTGCCAAATTTTGCTTTAACAATGATATTAGTTGGCAGTTAGCTTTATTTAATACACTCAATAATGTTACAGGAGGTACATGTTCGAGTTCAATCTTCAGGGGGCCGACTGTACTTAAGGCAGTGAAACGACACAGGAGTTTGATGGGATTTGTCTATCGATATGTAATATATTTGTGTTTTGAACATTTGATGTTAGATTGATGTTTGCAGGTTAGATTATTATTATTAATTGTTTTTTTTTTTTGTCGTATTTGTAGTTTATATTTATTTTTATTTTGGTTTTCTTGTCACTTTGTTTTTCATGATTTTGCAAAAAAAAAAAAAAAATTGAAGAATAAAATGGGTAGATTATGATTATTATTTTTTTGTCGTATTTGTAGTTTATATTTAGTTTTATATTTATTTTATTTTTTGTCAATTTTAGTTTCATGATAAAAAAAAAAATCAATAATAAAATGGTTAGATTATGATTATTAATTGTTCTTTTTTTTGTCTTATTTGTAGTTTATATTTAGGTCTATTTTGGTTTTTTTGACAATTTGTTTTTCATCATTTTGTAAAAAAAAATGAATAATAAACTTAAGATAAACCATTATATTTAGGTTATTTTGCATATGTTTATATTTTTTATTATCTATTAATTTTTTTTTTTGTCAAATTGTCTTTTAACTTAGTAAAAAAAATACATAATAAACTTGAGAAAAACCTAAAGTTACATGTTAGTTTAATAAATTATTAAAACAATGTAACGAACTTATGATAAACTACAGAAAAACCAAAAATTGCAAGTTAGTTTAATAAATTATAAAAACAATGTAACAAACTTAAAATAAACTACGGATAAAAAATTAAAAAGGAAGAACAGATGGTTAATTTAAAATAGAAAATATATTTAGGAATAGAAATATAATTGTTTTAAAAAGAGATGTTTTGGGAAAGTTTTTTTTTTAAGTACGAAGTAATGTAGTGACGTCTTTAGCATCATCATGTCACTATAGTTGCGGAGCAAGTGAAAAATGTGGAATTGAAGGTCATAAGAGAATAATAGTGCGATTCAGTAATTTTTAATCATATATATGTAAAACATACAAAATGAACTCGTCTGTACTTAAGGCAAAAAAAAAAAAATAACATTATAAATTTGTTGCTAATCATATTTCTTAAGTTATGTGTTACTATAATGTATGATGTCAATCCCCTCCCCCTATTTATTAATCCATAACGCGTTGAGCCTACGTGGCTGTTTCTGGTGCTTCGAAATCCTATATGGCAAAATTACATGTTTCTTTATTAGGCTTGAGTAAATTTTAATTTAATTCCAAACAAAAAATAATTAGGTTCGGATTACCATAAATATGTTGATTTTTTATGGTCATGTTACATGCATGTATTAATTGCATTTAATATCATTTCTTATTATAACTATTGAAATGTATATATATTTTAAAAGTTAATAACTTTTGTATTTTTATCAGTTTTACATATGTAATATATCAAATTAATCTTCTTTTGATGAGCTTCGATTTAACATACATATTGTATTTGTAAAAAAATAATTTATATTAATCTTTAAACAATAATAGAATTATTTTTAATATTAATTAGAAATTAAAATTATTTATCAACTAATATATTTATATTTCAAGTAGTTATATGATATAAGTTATAAAAACTAATATAATATAACACATGTAAGTCATAAGTAACACATATCATTCTAAAATATATAGTAATATATTTTTTTTGTAAAAAATTAAATTAAATTTAATATAGTTTTCTTATTAATTTTAAAATTTAAGAATAATTTTTTAACAACCACTCGTGTAATACACGGGTGTTGTACTAGTATGCAATATTGTTGTAACTAAAAGATCGATCATACCCGTTAAAATCATAAAGTATATCGATTTAATTTAATAATCAAATTGACTCCATATATTTGCACATATTAAAAAGTACAAGTAATCTCCATTATTGCCTCAAGTCATAAAGAGTGTGTATTCGTTTGAGATTTTGAGTGACATTTTGAGATTTTTCTGTATTTGAGACTTTTTTAGATTTTCAGACATACAAGGAATCCTATGAAATCTTAAATTTGAAGGTGAAATTTAGAGTTAGATTTCGGTGGGTGTATCCATTTTGATTTCAAACTTCAAAAATAGTGGTGAACTAAGGCCACCTTTATCCGTGACCCCCTCTCATTGGGTCAGGGTCACGGAATTAAAACAAAAAAAAAAGTTAAAACAAAAAAAAAATGGAAGATGTCACCGTATGGGCGACCCAGGTCACATGGTGACCTCGGGTCGCGACCGGTTTTTATATCGAAATGGGATACTTGTCCCATTTTTATTGCACAAGTGTATTTTTTTGTATATAAAAAATAAAAAAATATTAAAATTTGTACTTTTTCATTCTCTACAAATAGAGACCACACTTGATATATTTTAGAACACAATTATAATTTTAAATAAACTAAAATAAAAAAAAATATTTAAGTAGAGTTGGGTTAGGAATAAAGATAAATTGAGTTGGAAGATTGAGTTGTGTAGGTAGAGGAGAGAGAAATAATTTTTAATTGTTAGATTGGGTTTGGTTGGGTTGAGGATAAAGATAATCTAAAATTAGACTTTCTAAGACTTCAAAAAGTTTGATGTATTTGACTTATTTGCCACTGAGATTTGTTAAGACTTCAAGTTTTGATGGGATTTCTTAAAAAAAAAAAAAAAAAAAAAAAAAAAAAAAAAAAAAAAAAAAACACACACACACACACAAAATCTCACTCCAAAATTCCATCTATTCCTCCTAAATCTAAAAATATTAAAAAACTTCAAATCTAAAAAAGTCTCAAAATGTCACTTTTAAATTCCCAAACAAAAATACTGTATATAATTTTTTCATTTGGAATCTCGACAGATCTTAAAAATTCTTAACAAATCCTAGTCATAAACAAGTTAAATATCTAATGATTTTGTAAACGCCTAAGTTCGGCTGGTTAAATTAATTACACATCAAATTTGAAGCTTTTGACTGTGGCACTCTCATAATAAAAACTTTAGCTAATGTCTCAAAAATAATTGTTTCACAATTGATCCGAGCAACAAAATCTCTCACAGATTTGAAATAAAAGAAAAAAAAGCTAAAATAAATGACAAATTGAACCAGCAATTGGCAATGTGAATAATAGAGAAGTGTTATTAATTTCTTAGGTGGTCAGCGTGGTTAACAGTTATATTATCTGGACAAGAAATTAATACCATAAAGGTTAGAACTAAAAGAAACAAGCAATCGGCATGTAGGTTCAAATAGCCAATTAACAATCACCAAATCAGTTCTCAGATGTGATGTGCAGTTACAGGAAGTAAGAACCTAAGCTTCATGCAAGGCATTTTAAGTAAATCTACCGTTTTAACTGAACTTCACTAATGTGAAATTAAGGCGTCGTAGTTTACATCAAGTCAGGATCGGTGAACTTCACCAAAAAGCAAAACTTCCAGCACTGGAATTCCCTCATAAGTATTTTAACACTATTACATTGACTATTTGCCAGGATTTTGTAAGAAAAGCATTTGGTGTATGATATGCAATTACTTATAGCCACCAACCTTCAGTTCCTACGCTGTTTTGGTTGTTTGTGCATCTTCCACTGTTCAAGTAAACACTCAATTCCCTCTCCCAGTCGAGCTTTCCTTTTCTCGGTGGAATTCCAAAGCTCTTTTACAGTATACCGACCACTTGGGTTGTATTCATTCATCTCATTCAGTGCAGTCGTCACAGCCTCATACACTTCGGTACCCAATTCAGTTTTCAGTTCTTTCAACTTTTCATCATCTTCATTAAGTATCTCCTAGTAAATTGCACAAAGTGAATTTCATAAAAAATCAGTAAAATAGAGATATGCAAGAGCAATCAATGGAGGATAACACTGGCCAGAGCCAAATATAGGACTATGTTGGTCCATATTCCTTCATTATGACTCATTGTGGTGGATTAAGTAAAAAAAATATATCTTAAGAAAACAGGATACGAAATGGAACACAAGGTTAGGTCTCCTCGAAGGTGAAGGTTTCAAATGGAGCAGACTAAAATTTGGGAGCTATATTCCCCTTTCAGCAACTACACAATGAGAAAGTTCAGGTTTATAAACAATTAAACTTTTAAAATGTTATGCTGATAGGTTAAAAAACAATAATTTTAAATTAGAAATATAAACTGCATTAGTTTTCAGTCTTACTATTTCCAAAAGGTCCGGAAGAAAAAAATAATCAACTAGAAAATGGGGAGAAATATGAGCATTCATTAACAAAAATGTTGAATGACAATGACAAACAGATAACAGTAATTTGACTCACTTTTAGGGCTTTCTAGCTCAGTTTATAATCTCCACCAACTCGAGTTATATGTTTTGAGAAAGTATATTAGTTTTCTTCTAAGGTAACTCGTTACTCGTAAGGTCCAAACGTTTACTCTAAAAACAAATGTAGATCACAACAAATTGCTATTGAGATCTTAGAAACTCTTATGTTATATCATTAGAGCATCATAATTGATTCGAAATTCTAACATCTTAATACTCAAAAGAAAATATATCACAAGATATAGGAGCACTTGACTATATTAGGTTAGACATTTTTCTTTCTTTTCTTTCTAGTACTTGACTCAAATCATGTGACTTGCGGCTTCCCTGGCTAGAATACTTTAGATAAGTTTGAATCGAAATTCTCCCATAATAAATGGGACATGTGTCACTGTTTTCATTATGCTTCCTCATATACACTCCAAAGTCCACACAAGTGCATATAATCAAGAGATCAATGTTTTCAGGTCGGCTGGTCGAACCTGGTCGACCACGGACCGACTAGACGATTACTCGTGATTAATCGTCGACCAGCTAAATTAATCGGGCTGCCTCCTTCCTATACATATCCTAACCCTAACAGGCCAAACAGGCCAAGCCCAGCAGCCCACATACCAGCCCAAAAAGACAAATATATGTCCTGGTCGTCCATATGCCCTGGTCGGACGATTAATCGCGATTAATCGACGATAAATCGGACGACCAGGTTTCTGGTCGAGCTGGTCGGGTCGGACCTCCTAATCGAGCACTTGGGAGCGACCAGGACGATTAATCGGGCGGACGACCTAAAATCAGGGCAAGAGATATCCCATTAGTTAAAAAACATAGAAGCATGAACTACTGATAAATTATTACTTTTGTCAATTAAAAGGTATACCTTGAAAGTTTCTCCTTCCACGACCATCTTATATGGATGCCAGTTTGGATCCCTGAGGTAATCTTCCCACAAGGAGCAGAGTTCTGCTGCTTTGGCTTTTGCATCTTCACCACCATGTTTTATGTTCGCCACTTTGACAAATGGCTTTTCATCAAGCTCTCCCATCCTCTTCACACAGATATTGGTGCGGCTGTCGTTGAAAATCTTTGGGGATAGATATATGAACATAAAATTCTGTAAGATATTGCATATGCTCCATAATTTATCAATAAAGCTACCAATCATTGTTTCTTATTTCATTCATACTGCTACAGTCTAAGGAATTAAAGTTTTCATCAGGCTCTGACACAACCTTGTATTTCTCGCAGATTATGAGAGAAGGAAAGGAGTTTAAAGGGATATCTTGTGATGCTATTTCTAGGATATTCTGCGACCTTTTTGAAGGATTTATAATTTTGGTAGTTGAGAAAAGGAGAAAAAGGACTGCCAATACATCCAAGCACTATGAGAAAGAGCGGCATAAAGCCAGTTAATTAAACCAACAGTGTCTTTCTGGTAATCCAGACTTGAGCAATTGATGTTACTTATCTGCTTCGCCTAGGCTGGATGCATGAAAAAAAGCTACTGCTTAAGCAGTGAAACTCGAAGTTGTTAGCATAACACAAAATGAAACCAGTAATATCTCCAATCAAAAGCCCTCGCTTTTTCTCAGTCTTCAACAGTTATAGCATAACACATCTTAAAATTTTGACAGGATTCTATGCACAGTTGACGGCTTTACTGTAGGGATGATCACGGTATAACTTCACTAAATTGCTAAACCAATATTGTTTTTGTAGTGAAGTCAGGAAATGATTTATTTAATTCTGTCATATTCTCTATGGCAGCATTTACAGTCTCCACGAATCTTGTCAAAAGGTGAATATCCCAAAGAATACGGCTAATTAGCTGAAGCCATTAGTAGATGTAGAGCTAGAACTTAAAGATTAAAACGCTATGTTGCTTTGTAACGAAGTCAAAAACTCACACTTAACAATTGCTGGCGAGCTTGTTGCAACTCGTCATTGGTCTTTCTCTCCTTGATAATTAGATTCTGATTTACAGATTCCATGCCATCAAGTTCTTCTTCTTTATCATTAAGCTCTTCTTCGATTGCTTCCAACTTTTTTTTCAGTTCCATATCTTCTTCTTCACAAGTACTCATGTGGTTCATCTCCTCAATCGCACCTCTCATATGCTGTATGTTCAACTCTAGCGATTGCTTCTTATCAAGCTCTGACTCGAGCTCTATAATCTTTTTGAGAAGGAGTTCCTTTTGTCTCTGTCATTATCAATAAAACCAAAGATACTAAGAACTGCAGCTTGTGAAAGCAGAAAAACGATCAAATGCTACCATACCATTTGTTCTTCTGCAAGTTTCACCATTTTTTCGTCATCATTCGTTTGTTCCATAATTGCCAACTCGTTCTGCAAAAATACACGTAGTCATTCTAACATTTGTCTGCTTCTGTTCAGGAAGATAGGGGCAATAAACATAACGTGAAGAGTCTTTAATTTCATAGAAAAAGAACAAACTACCATTTCTACGAACGATTAGGTTTCAAACAAGCAAAACCGCTAAGTACTACTACAGCCTTCGCCATAATTAACTTTCATACCAGAATCCCAAGTGAGTTTCTTTCTACACGTCAGCGAAGAGTTTGGTATCAATCTATCATTTAAACGAATGAAGGAATACATAAACAAACAAAACATTACCTTCTTCTTTTGTTCATCCAGATTCCTCTTCTCATTCTCATTCAGCGCTCGACGTTTCTCCAGTTCTTTCGTCCACATCTTTAATTTTACTCTTTGAGCCTCCAATTCCGCTTTGCTTCTCTTTTGCCGCTCAGAAATAGGGCATGAACCGAAATCTCTCCAAATTGAAAAGTAACGTTTGACTTTATCCGAACCGAACTTAATAAAACCGAACTGAAAAAATAGTTGGTACTTTTTTAGAGATTTCATAAATACTCGTACTGAGAACTGAACACTATCTCATATTGTAACCGAATAACCGAAATTAAGAACCGGATTATAACATTAGTTGTGTGTTATTAATATATTTTATGTCAACTTTAGTACTACATAATTTGAAAAATTATTAAAAAGCAAAAAAGTATAGTGTAAGACCCCGTTCGATTTATAGAATTCTCGAATTATTCTATTTATTGAATTTTAATTATAAGATTATATTTATTATATTGGTCGTGAGGTACTTAAATTATGGGTTTAAATACTTAATCGTTTTATTTTTAAAAACGTTCGTAGTTCGACGATTTTGGTTTAATCGCGTAGTCTGGATTTAACCGTTTATTTATGGATTTTTCGAGTATTATTTTTTGTTATTATTATTATTATTCTTGATATTAATTGTCTAATTTATATTAGTTGTCAAATTGTCTAAATTTTTTAATTGCTTATTATTATTTTTATATAATCATTATGTGTCATATATATATATATATATGGAATGGTTCAATGCGGACAGTTTTTTAAAATGCGGACGTGAGACTCATTCTTAGCCACAAGATTGGTACATGATATGTGTGGCAATGATTAACTATTTTTTTATTATATTTTAATTATTTAAATATTATTTTGACCCGTTGACTCTGGTGTTGACCGTTGACTTCCGGCGTTGACCGTTGACTCCAGCGTTGACTTCCGGCGAAAATTCGTTGACTTCGGCATTGACCGTTGACAACTAAACTTGCAATTAAATATAAATAACCTAGCATCTATGTTAATTTTCTGATGGTGCTAGTTTTTTTTTAAAAAAAAAAAAACAACGCCCCGGGGGCGGGGGATTGGGCTGGATCCTCAACCTGTACATAGATCAAGACCTCAAAACGGGCCCAAATATCAAACAACTACAGTCAACATAGTCTCACAATCAATAGGAAGGCAAAAACAGAAAAAGAAAAGGAAAGAAATAATACAAGTCAGTCATCGGGCTAACAGGTGCCCGAAATAAATGTATGATCAGAGGAGAGCAAAAACTAGTCTACTAAAACCGGAAAGATGGGTATCCAAGCTGGTCCATCCGTACCAGCGTGCGAAGACGGAGTGGAGCAGTGGTGGTCGGTCTGATACGTGTGTAGGTCCGGTGTGGTGGCGCCAAGGCTGGCAAGATAGTCAGCAGGTCTGTTCCCTCACGGAAGATGTGCGTAATTTTGTGATGGACAAACCGTAGGATAGCTCTAATGCGCATAAGCAGGTGCTGAATCTGCCACGAGCCCTGGTGGCCCGAGGTCAGGATGGTGACGACCGCCGCAACGTCCAGCTCGATCCAAATATGACTAGAGAGGTGGGCAACGAGATGAAGGCCAATCTGTAGAGCCCGAATCTCTGCATCGTAGCTCAAGGAGGCCTGAAGGGACGTGTGGAAGGCTGTGATAAGAGCGCCGCTATGGTCTCGGATCAAACCTCCTCATCCGGCAACTCCGATCTGGCGATCAAAAGAGCCATCAGTGTTTAGCTTGACCCAAGGGGAGTCGGGTCGAAGCCAAACGACAGCTCTGGGCTGAGGAGGCCGAACAGGCACAGGGGGAGCTACCAGGTAGCGGTGTGGTGGCGTGCAGCCTGTCCAGTCTCTGGCAGTGAGCCTGCCCAAAGACTTGAGGAGTGAAAGATGTCTCTGTACCTGCAAAACAATGTGAGAAAGCAAAAAAGTAATATCCCTATGCTTCGCACTATTCCTTTCCGCCCAGGTGAACCAAAGGATCAGACAAGGAATGAGGAAGCCCATGTGTCAAAAGTGTGTGCTCTGTGAGAAAAAACTCAAGAGTTCAGAGAAACTGTCTGTGGTGGGTAGGGATATATGAGTCCAAGTGGCAAAATGCTCTCACACTTTCCTCACAATCTCACTCTCTAGAAAAAGGTGGATAAAGATCTCGGTCTCGTGACGTCCAGTCTCAGAACAACACACAACCCGGGAGGGAAGGAGAACCCCCTCGCATGTAAAACAGTGTCCACGAGTATCCGGCGCAAAAGGAGGCGCCAAAGGAAAACCAAAATAGTAGAGGGAAAGAGATCGCTCCAGATGGCTCCGAAGAGACGATTAGGCCGATTTCTCAGCCTGATCTGCTCCCAAGCCGAGGTAGTAGAAAACACACCCGATGATGTAAGTCTCCACCTCATGCCATCTGAACCGTCCCCCCGAGATGGGGATCTGCTGGATCTTATCTAATAAATGCTCGCTAAACCCCGCCTCGGAAACCAGCTCTCTATCAAGCTTCCCCATATCCCATGACCCGTCCGTCCACAGGTCTCTCACGAGTAGGTAGGGGGAATGCGACACCTGCCTATCGCTAGACAACGGCCTATCACCTAACCACCACTCATCCCAAAAACTAACCTCACCCTCACCCAAAACCCAAAAGATGTGATCCTGGGAGCGCCTACCGACCCTAGTGAGACGTCTCCACTGTCTGCTATCATGACTAACCGTCGTCACCCAACAAGGGTGGTTGGCACGTCTAGAACAGTACTTGCCGCGAAGGTATTGGGCCCAAAGCGACTTTCCTTCCCTGAAGCGCCACCACAACTTGTAGGAGAAGGCAGTAACGATAGTCTGATGGTGCTAGGTTAGTTGTATGATTGTGCTAGGTTTGTTGTCTGATTGTGCTAGGTTAGTTTTCTGATGGTGCTAGATTAGTTGTATCATTGTGCTATGTTAGCTTTATGTTGGTGCTAGGTTAGTTATATATCTCTGCTAGGTTAGTTTTATCATGTTGCAATGTTAGTTGTATGTGTTCCCATGTTTTTTTTTTAAACAAACAACGCCCCGAGGAGCGGGGGATTGGGCTGGATCCCCAACCTGTATATAGATCAAGACCCTAAAATGGGCCAAAAACAATCAACATAGTCTCACAATCACAAAAAGAAAACGAAAATAATACAAGGTCTGTCATCGGGCTAACAGATGCCCGAAGTAAATGGATCTGAATAAAACAAAACCAAAAACCCTGATCTACTGAAGTCGAAATGATGGATATCCAGTTGATCCATCCGAACTAGCATGCGAAGGCGGAGTGGAGCAGTGTCGGTCTGATACGTATGTGTGTCTGGTATGGTAGTTGAATCTGCCAAGAGCCCTGATGACCCGGGGTCAGGAGGGTGATGACAGCCGCAACATCCAGCTCAATCTAATTATGACTAGAGAGGTCCGCAGCAATCTGGAGACCAATCTGTAATGCTTGAATCTCTGCATCGTAGCTCGAGGAGGCCTGAAGGGATGTGTGGAAGCCGGTGATAAGGGCTCCACTGTGGTCCCTGATGAAGCCTCCTCCTCCGGCAGTACCGCTATGGCGATCGAAAGATCCATCGGTGTTCAGCTTGACCCAAGGAGAGTCAGGTCGAAGCCAAACAACAGCACTGTTAGTTATATGTGTTTCTATGTTAGCTTTATGTTGGTGCTAGGTTAATTTTATCATGTTGCAATGTTAGTTGTATGGTGTTGCTATGCTAGTTGTCTGTTGGTGCTAGGTTAGTTATATATCTCTGCTAGGTAAGTTTTATCATGTTGCAATGTTAGTTGTATGGTGTTGCTATGTTATTTGTCTGTTGGTGCTAGGTTTTTTTTTTTTTTTTTTTTTTTTTTTTTTTTTTTTTNTTTTAAAAAACAACGCCCCGGAGGCGGGGGATTGGGCTGGATCCCCCAACCTGTATATAGATTAAGACCACAAGGAGGGCCCAAATATCAATCAAATACAATCAACATAGTCTCACAATCAAAAAAGAAACCAAAAGCAGAAAAGGAAAAAGGAAAGGAAATACTACAAGGTCTGTCATCGGGCTAACAGGTGCCCAGAATAAGTGTATGGTCAGAAGAGAGAACTGAAATCTACTAAAACCGAAAAGATGGGTATCCAAGCTGGTCCATCCGTACCAGCGTGTGAAGACAGAGTGGAGCAGTGGTGTCGGTCTGATACGTGTGTAGGTCCGGTGTGGTGGCGCCAAGGCTGGCTAGGTAATCAGCAGGTTTGTTCCCCTCACGGAAGATGTGTGTAATCCTGTGATGGACAGACCGTAGGAGAGCTCTAATGCGCATAAGCGGGTGCTGAATCTTCCACGAGCCCTGGTGGCCCGAGGTCAGGATGGTGACGACCGCCGCCGCGGAAGATGTGTGTAATCCTGTGATGGACAGACCGTAGGAGAGCTCTAATGTGCATAAGCGGGTGCTGAATCTGCCACGAGCCCTGGTGGCGCCGAGGTCTGTTGGTGCTAGGTTAGTTATATATATCTGCTAGGTTAGTTTTATCATGTTTCAATGTTAGTTGTATGGTGTTGCTATGTTAGCTTTATGTTGGTTCTAGGTTAGTTTTATCAAGTTGCAATGTTAGTTGTATGGTGTTGCTATGTTAGCTGTCTGTTGGTGCTAGGTTAATTATATATCTCTGCTAGGTTAGTCTTATCATGTTGCAATGTTAATTGTATGGTGTTGCTATGTTAGTTGTTTGTTGGTGCTAGGTTAGTTATATATCTCTGCTAGGTTAGTTGTCTGTTGGTGCTAGGTTATTAGTGTCTTGTTGCTAGGTTAGTTATATATTTCTGCTAGGTTAGTTGTCTGATTGTGCTAGGTTAGTTGTTTGATTGTGCTAGGTTAGTTGTCTGATTATGCTATGTTAGTGGTTGCTAGGTTAGTTGTCTGAAGGTGCTAGGTTAGTTGTCTGATTCTGCTAGTTTAGTTGGCTGATGGTACTAGGTTTGTTGTTTGTAGTTGCAACTACATGATGAAAATTTGCAGGGTCACATAGCAAAACTTTGAAAGGCCATAACTTTGCGTAGGAAGC